GTCAAACAGCACATGGCATATAAATAATACTAATCAAGGTGGTGTCCAACTATTTCATTGTGAAGCAATCGCTAACATTAGAAGACGTAATCAAATAGCGCATCGCATGTGAATCATATTAACGAAGATGGTATCCAATTATATCATTGTGAAGCGTTCGCTAACATTAGAAGCTGTAATCAAACAGCACATGGCAAATGAATTGTACTAATAAAGACCATATTCAATTATTTCATTGTAAATCGATCGCTAACGTGAGAAGACATAATCAAACAGTGCATCGTATATGAATTATCCTAAGCAAAGTGATGTTCAATTATTTGATTGTGAAGGGATTGCTAGCATCAGAAGACATAATTAAACAACACACAGTATATGAATTATCCTAAATAAAGTAGTGTTCAATTATTTCATTATGAAGCTATCCCTAACACAAGAACATGTTATCAAAAAGTGCATGGCATATGAATTATCTTAACCAAGGTGGTGTTCAATTATCTCATTGCGAAACCTTCGCTGACATTAGTAGACGTAATCAAACGGAGCATAACATAGGAATTATACTAATAAAGATCATGTTCAATTATTTCATTCCGAAGCGATTGTTCACCTGAGAAGATATAATCAGACAGTGCATGATATATGAATTATACTAATCAAGATGGTGTTCAATTATTCCAGTGTGAAGTGATCGCTGACATTAGCAGGCGTAGCCAAACAGCGCATGGTATATGAATTACACTAATTAAGGTGGTATTCGATTATTTCGTTGTGAAGCAGTCGCTTACATCAGAAGACATAATCAAGTAGTATATGGCATATGAACTATCCCAAACAAGGTGATGTTCAATTATTTCATTGTGAAGCGATCGCTAGCATCAGAAGACATAATCAAACAGCTCGCGGTATATGAATTCTCCTAACTAAGATGATGTTCAATTATTTCATTGTAAAACGATCGCTAACATGAGAAGACATAATTAATTAAATAGCACATGGTATATGAATTCTCCTAAGCAAGATGATGTTCATTTATTTTACTGTGAAGCAATTGCTAACATCAAAAAAACATAATCAAACAATACATGCCACATGAATTATTCTAAGCAAAATGGTGTTCAATTATTTCATTGTGAAGCGATTGCTAACATGAGAAGACGTAATTAAACAGCACATGGTATATAAATTATCCCAACGAAGGTGATGTTCAATTATTTGATTGTGAAGCGATCGCTAGCATCAGAAGACACAATCATACACTGTATGGCATGTGAATTATTCTTAAAAAGGTGGTATTCAATTATTTCATTGTTAAGCAATCGCTAACATGAGAAGACATAATCAAACAGTCCATGGCATATGAATTATCCTAAACAAAATAGTGTTCATTTATTTCATTGTAAAGTGATTGCTAGCATTAGAAGGTGTAATCAAACAGTGCATGACATATGAATTATACTAATAAAGATCATGTTCAATTATTTGATTGTGAAGCGATCGATAACATCAGAAGACACAATCAAATAGTGCATGGTATATGAATTATCCTAAGCAAAGTGATGTTCAATTATTTGATTATGGAAGGATTGCTAGCATTAGAAGACATAATCAAACAGCGCATGGCATATGAATTATGCTAAGAAAGGTGGTGTTCAATTATTCTATTGTAAAATGATCGCCAAAATCAGAAGGCATAGTCAAACAGCGCGTGGCGTATGAATTATACGAATTAAGATGGTGTTCAATTACTTGGTTGTGAAGCGATCGCTAACATTAGAATACATAATCAAACAGTCCATGGTATGTGAATTATCCTAACCATGGTAATGTTTAATTATCTCATTGTGAAGCGATCGCTAATATCAGCAGACGTAGTCAAACAGCACATGGGATATGAATTATACTAATCAAGGTGATATTCAATTATTTCATTGTAAAGCGATCACTAATATAAGAAGACGTAATGAAACAGCGAATGGCTTATGAATTATCCTAACCACGGTGGTGTTCAATTATTTCATTGTAAAGCGATCGCTAACATGAGAAGACATAACCAAAGAACGCATGGTATATGAATTATATAAATTAAAGTGATGTTCAATTATTTCATTGCAAAGCGATCGCTGACGTCAGAAGACGTAATTCAACTGCGCATGGTATACGAAATATCTTAAGCAAGCTCGAGTTCATTTATGTTATTATCAAGCAGTCAACGGCAGTGAAGCTTATGATTGACGATTACACGGCTGATGAATTTTTTCAGGATTCTGTTCAGATAAATTTAGTAATAGAACCAAGAGTTAGCTTAGTTTACATAAAAGATGACGTCTAAAATAATGAATTACTGAGACAGTGATCAGATTCAAATTTTTGATTGACTTGTTGTCGAAAACCAGCACATTGCGGTAGACTTAGAAACACATAGAAATGAAATAGCTAAACTTGAACCAGTTGCAGTGTACTAATCAAATATCCTATACAATTTGAAATGACGTTAGATGCTAGATCGCATGATTGACAATCAAGTGAATAGTGAATTACTCTAAGTATATATTCATTCGGCTATTCTTCTACTTTGTTCGAAAAATCGCTTAGTTGTTGATGTTCAACCATTATATTTCAAGTATACAACTCCAAATAGATTCTTATCCAAGTGTTTTATTCGTTTAAAGATAAAGCTTGAGCGTATGCTACCTACTAGAGTGCACATAGGAGATGAATCATTTTTAATATGAGTCTGTTCAACTATCTAACTGACTTCAGATTGGATTCAGAAATTACATAAGATGATGCAATACGACAAGATAACTAATTAGTATCAACAATTGTGCTCTTCAAATATATTACTCATTTAGAAGCAAAGCATGTCAGTTCATTTTAACAACAGAGAGCACCTGACAAATGAACCGTTCTAACGAAGTTTGATTTCAAATAACTCAGCTGCTAGAAGTAATATAAGTCATACCATTGCATTGCTGAAGATCATTTGGCAAATGAATCGTTCTAAGAAGGGTTTCATCCAATTATATTTCTTAATTCAAAGCAAAACGCGTCACACGATGACATCAACAAAGACCTATTGACATATAAATCGTTCTAAAAAGAGTTCTATTCATGTGTATCGCTCACTTCGAAGGGAAGTGTATCATTCAATCACATCAGCAAAGATTTATTGGGCAATGAATTCTTATAACCAGAAGTCCACTCAATTATATTGCTCACGTTGAAGTGTAGTGTGTCACTCAATCACTTCAGCGACAATTGATTGACAAATGAATCTTTCTAAAAAGAGTTCCATTCAGGTATATCGCTCACTTCAAATTGAAGTGTCATTCGATCACATCAGCGAAAGGTTTTTGACAAATGAATTGTTATAAGTAGAGTTCCATTCAATTAGATCGGTCACTTCGTATCGAAGGATGTCATCCAATCATATTAGAAAAGATTTATTCACAAATGAATCGTTCTAACCAGGATTCCATTCAAATATATCGCTGAAAAAGACAAAATTCACGTTCAGCATACTCTTTCGAGGAAACCTAAATGCTGATTAGGTCGAACAAAAATTTCGTTCAGATATGTCACTCTTTAACTAAACAACTAAACATGATACATATTGGTGAAAGATACATGGTGAATGTATCAGTCTGAATATAATTGTATTTAAATATATCGTTTACTTTAAAGTGAAGCATGCCACTCGGTCACATCAGCAAAGATCTCTTGATAAATGAATCATTCTAACGAGGATTCCATTCAATTATGTCGTTCACTTCGACGCGAAGTGTGTCACTCGATCACATCAGCAAAGATCTTTTGACAAATGAATTGCTTCAAGCAGAGTTTCATTCAATTACATCGTTCACCTTGAGATGAAGTATGTCACTAGACTGATATATGAAAGTTTACATGTTAATTAATTATTTGTAACAAAGACTTTGGACAAATATCACCTTTACTTTAGAAAAAGTTCGCACAAAACTGAATCATGGAAGTTGAAATAGTAAACGAATGATTTCGAGTAGGATTGTATCCAAGTATATCGCTCAGTTCGAAGCGAAGTATTTTATTTGACCACGTCAGCAAAAATCTCTTCACAAATGAATTGCTCTAAAGAGGGTTGAATTCAAGAATATCATTCACTTTGAAACAAAGTATGTCACTTGATCATGCCAAGAAGATCTTTTGACGAAATGAATCGTTCTAAGCAGGGTACCATTCAAGAGTATCCCTCACTTCGAAGCGAAGTGTGCCATTCGATCACATCGTCAAAGATCTCTTGACAAATGAATCATTAAAACCAAGGTTCAATTCAAGTATATCGCTCACTTCGGGACGAAGTGTGCCACTCAATCACGTCAACGAAGATCTCTTAGCAAATGAATCATTAAAATTAGGGTTCCATTAGAGTATATCGCTCACTTCGAAGTGAAATGTGCTACTCAATCATATCAAAGAGGATCTCTTGACAAATGAATCATTAGCAACAGGGTTCTATTCAAATACATCGCTCACTTCGTAGCGAAGTGTGTCACTGGATCAGATCAGGCAAGAAGCACTGACAAATGAATTGAGCTAATAAGTAAGATTCTGTTCGAATATCTTTTGCTTGGCTGAAATAATTCGTTTGGATGAAGAACATGTTCATTGAAAAGATGTCACCTAAATAAACATTACAACTCCTCTGTTCAAATACTGGTTACATTACAAGAATGTGGTATGGTTGAGGATGCACTAAACAAAAACGTAGAACATGAATGAAATGAAGTAGTAATCTGTTCAGGTATCTACTGACGTACCGTCAAATCTCAATATAATGTTTTTGGATGAACGATCTGAAGATCTATGAATCTATTCAAGTAAATATCGGTTCAAATGAATGAATGACTGTAAATAAAATATCACAACTGCTGTTTCAAATACTGATGACATAATGCATGCACAGTTAGGACAAAGATTCTATTCGAATATTCGAAAGAATTTGAAGCAGTCGCTCGATATTAATCGATGGGTGAAAGTAAACATTGTGCATGACAGTGTTTTGGATTTAGTGTGGTTGTTGTTGTCGTTGTTGTTGTTGTTGTTGTAGTTGTTGTTGTTGTTGTTGTTGTTGTTGTTGTTATTGTTGTTATTATTGTGCCTAAAATTAATCACAAATCAGAATTCTAAAATTCTGCAGAAGAATTCATTCGCATTTAAAATAGTGGTAGAATCATCAAGAAATAATTTTTACATGATACAAGGTTTGGAAGAATGTTCCTATTAAACAGCACATGTGATAGTATCGGTGTCTATCATCATGTTGGCATCCGGAACACAAAACACTGCACAAATTTCTTTAAACATCAGGGTGTTGATATCATTGTGAATATGTAGTGTGATGGAAAAAATCCTCACATACCAGCATCTTCAACCAATACTCATGCTCACATCAATATTCATTGCTGCATGTCGTAACTGTAAGAACAACAGGAATGCTGAAGTTTTTTCTGTCACAACAGAATATCTACAAACGCATCTACCGTTCAAGCAGGTGAGATTATTACAATCCGATGATTGACTCCACTGATTCCCGTCTTCACACTTTTGGTTTGCTGCACATAAAATTCTCAGTTGCCATCAGTCTTATCTTGATTCTGTGAAACTCACATATATTTTCAAAGAAAATAGTGAGTCTAAGTTCAAATCGAGGTTTTTCGCTTTCTTCCTTCCTCTTCTGGGTCCTAGCAACCGGGCGTGAAAGATGGCAAGCCAAAGACCATTAAGTACGTTTTCATAGCAACAGGAAAACACGTGTGAGTAGTAAAAGTGTTTAGATCATTTTGGAACTTTCTAGAATCTTTTGAAGCATTCTATGAATCTAACATGTCCGCTGTACATTCTAACTAGCCTAAATATGGTAGGCTTTTGTATTTAATGCAGTAAAAGCATCTTATTGTAAGTGTCAATCAGTAGAGTGGTGGTATTATTCATTTAGCAGAATCAGAATAGAACGGATATAGAAACTTATGAACTAATGGAATTCTAAGTTTATAGGCAAAACTCAACAGTATATGCCAAAGTTCGTTTAGGAAAAAAAAATGATGTGCTCGAAAGCTTATTGAACGATTAAATCAATGTGTATAGCAGGCTAATGCAGTGTTTGAACTGATGAAACATAGAATAAAATGATATTTGTTACTTCCTACGGTAAGTCTCATATATATACGCCTGGGAAGCAAAAGTTAGCCACTACGTTTGACCTCTTTCTACACTCGAAAAGAACATTTCAAAAAAAGTAATTATACCATTTGATAGCGCTTGAAATTCTCTACCAGCCTGTGTATTTGTATTTTAGTTTGCGCTTGAACATTATGGAAATAAATTGAGTATAATGAAGGCACTTTCATATCTACATTCCCACAGACTGAATTTTGTCACTGGCATAGAAAATAGGTTTTTTAATTTTCTATCACTATAAAATTATCTTTTTAAAAAAGCAATTATATATTCTAATAGAGCTTGAAATTTTCTGTCATTCCATATATTTATGTGTTGCTTTGCATTATCTGTTAAAAAATAATTTGAATACAGTGAAGAAATTTCAATTGACAATTTCAAAGATACACTGATTTTTTTTACTTATATTGAAGGCAGTATACTTTTATATAGACTGATAGAGAATTTCAAGAGCTATCAGAATGTATAATTACTTTTGTGAAAATTTATTCTATATGAAAAATAATTTGGTAAAAATACTAAAAAAATAGCAAACAATGGGGATTTTTTAATACTTGTCAATTGAAGATATCTTCATTGTATTCGAATTATTTTTCAACAGATATATGCAAAGCAACATATAAATATATGGGATGATAGAGAATTTCAAACTCTATCAGAATATATATAATTACTTTTAAAAAATGTGGTTCTATAGTAATGAAAAATATTAAAAATTAGAAAGTCCGTCGTTGGGAATGAGGGCATGGAAGTGCCTTCATTATACTCAATTTATTTTCATAATGTTCAAGCGCAAACTAAAATACAAATACACAGGCAGGTAGAGAATTTCAAGCGCTATCAAATGGTATAGTTATTTTTTTCGAAATGTTCTTTTCGAATATAAAAAGAGGTCAAGCCTAGTGGCTAACTTTTGCTTTCCAGGCGTATATACAACTTCGAGGTTGCTAGTCTTATAATGGAGTTGTTTCGAAAGTATAACCGTGAGGGTTAATGACATGCAACAAAATATCGAAAAATCGAGAAAAAAACAAATGGTTAATAATAATTGAGTAAGAGTG